GGGGGGCTCAGCACCCCTTTTCCCGGGGGGGGTCCCCAAGTCACCCCGTGTCCCCCGGGGGTGCTCTCCCCAGCGGCTGCCGGGAAGGACGGAGCGGGCGAGCGGCGGTGACTTTCGGGGACACCCTGGGGACGCTTTCCCCCGGGGTGCCGACACCGAGCGGGGTCCCCTCACCGGCCCCGGCACCGCCGGTGGGACGCGGTGAGCAAGCCGGCTCCGGAGGTGACGTGCAGTGGGTCTCGGTGGGGCGCATCGCCCAGCCCGCTTCAACCACCGTTTTTTAGCAACTGGGGAAACTGGAGTTACTGGGAAGTTTCCCGGCTGCCGTGCCCTTGGCCCACCTCGTCCCAGCGCAGCAGCGGGAGGATGCTCACAGGCGGGTGTTGGGACGGGGGAGCTCCTGCCCGCACCCCAATAATCTGGGGGCCACCCAGGGCTGATTTCCCGGCTCCCCTTTCAGGGCAGCTTTTGCCTTTGCAAATCCCCAGCTCCCGGAGTCAGGGGATCACGGTGCCCTTCGCTCCACTGGGTTAAGTCACCGAGGAGCGTTTGAGGGGGTGGCAGGCGAAGGAGACCCCTGCAAGCCCAGTGGGTGCTGCCACGGCCCCCCGAGGGGTATTTTGCAGCTATCGGGTGTTTTTAGGGCCCTGGCTGGTGATTTTGGGGTAGGCGAGGAAGGGCAGGGGGGCAGCTCCTAAGAAGGGAGAGGGCTCGGCCCGCGCCGTGCGCAGGGGAGGCCTATTTATAGCCAAAAATGTCTGTGGAGTGTCAGCACGTGTGCGTGTCGCCGCTCGGTGCGCTGGCGGGTTAGGTGACATGGGACAGTCCTGGCACGGCCGGCATCCGCACCGACTCCAGCCCTGGGGAAACCCAAACCTTCGCGAGCCGCAGCCGGAGCAGGGCATCGCCGGCCGGAGGAGCTGTGCCGTGCCGGGCCCAACGACCCCGTGCTGTGCCGAGCGGCCGTGCTGAGCGGCCGTGCCGAGCGGGGCCATCTGCTCCCGGTCCTGGCCGTGTGCCTGGGAGGCAGGCGGCTGGCGGGGGGCGGCGGGGATCCCCCCCGGCTCCTGCCCCTTCCCAATGGGGCCGGCCGCACCGGGAGCGTGGCTGACCGCTGGTTTGGTGGAGATGCAAAATAAAAGCATTAATTGGTGAAGCGAAGCAGCCGGGGCGATGCCGGGCAGCGGGCGCCCCAGGGACCCAGTAGGCTGCGGGCGGAGGTGATGGGGCAGCTATTTTGGGGTGTTTTGGGGGACCCCGATGAGCTCCCGTGCACCGGCAGCTGGTGTTTCGGCACCACACTGCGTTGGTGAGGGCTGAGCTGGGGAAGGGGCTCGAGGGTGCCGCGGGTGGCAGATGCCAAACCGCTGCCCCGGCCGCCCTTGGGGTGCAGGGGGGACGTCACCCAGGCCCGACGGGGGGACCTTGGCAGCGGCACGGTGCCAGCCCCTCACCGGGAAGTGCTGATTCACGGCGCCGAGCCGCCGGCCGGGGAAGGCGACGCTGCCCTGGCCCCGGCTGCAGGATGCTCGCGGCGGGGCTGGCACACCGGCACTCCCGGCTTTCCTCCCGCCGAGCAGGCAGAATGACAGTCCCCAGGCAGTGGGTGCCGGCGGTGGCGTGGCTCTGCCAGACAGGGCTGTTTGGAAGGCACTGGTGCAGCAGAGGGAGATTTAAAGGGTCAGCGAGCGCCCGCGCTCGAAATGCACGCTGGCGGCTCCCTTCGGCGCGATCTCCTCCTCCTCCTCCTCCTCCTCGGATGCTCGCGGCCATGGCCCCGCTGTTGTTGGGGTGGTGTGGGGGAGGCCCAGCCAGGACCGAGGTCTCCTGCTGGGATGGCAGCGCCGGGCTGCGGCATGCCGCAGAGACCCGACACAACTCAGCGCGCCCAGGCAGACCGTCTGCAGTTCCTGCCGTGTTGGGGTGGAGATCCCCAAATTTGGGCTTCCCCAGGGGTTTTCTGCTGTAGGACAGGAGAGCGAGCCCAGGAGGGCTGCGGGCCCCGCTCTTGCACGCTCCTGCGTGCTCCCACGTGCACTTACATGGCCTTGCACGCTCTCGTGTGCCTTCTTGCATGTGCTCGCATGTCCTTGCTTGCACATGCACGCTCCTGCATGTCCTTGCTCGCACGTGCATGCTCTGGCACGCTTCTACATGTCCTTGCCCACACACGCATGCTCTAGCATGCTTTTACATGTCCTTACTCACACATGCATGCTTTTGCACGCTCCTGCATGTCCTTGCATGCTCTGGTACGCTCCTGCACGTCCTTACTCACATGTGCATGCTCTGGCATGCTCCTGCATGTCCTTGCCCACACATGCATGCTCTAGCACGCTTCTACATGTCCTTGCTCACATGTGCATGCTCTGGCATGCTCCTTCATGTCCTTGCACGCTCTTGCGAGCAAGCCAGCTCCCCAGCCAAGGCCCTGCCTGCGTGGCCGCGATTAGGGTGCGGAGATGGGGCCCACCCCAGCCCTGCTGGCCCCGATAAAGCCTCTCCTGCCCGCTGGCTGCCTGGGGGTCCCTGGGGAGCGGGTGGCCGTGGGCTGTCACCGCTCATGGGGACACCAGGGGTTTGGGGGTGCCCAGGGTTTCCTCTGCCTGCGCTGTGCACCCGCAGCCGGGGGCTCCCAGTGGCTCCGGGGTGCTGATGGGGGTCCCGGCCGGGGGTGCTGGCCATGGGCAGCCCCAGCCCGGCTCCCTGCACCCCTCGGGGGCCCCAGCAGCCTCCTCCCACCCGGCCCGGCCACCGACAGCTGCTCGCAGGCATTTTTAGATACCGGCCATGTCCTATCTGTGTCTCAAATGTCCCCGGGGGCGGGTGGCCCCCCCCGCTGGCAGCTGTCACCCGCTTTCTGCCACCGGTGCCGGCGAAGCCCCTCTGCGGCGCAGGCATCGGGGTGGGTGTGAGCAGCGCCCACTGCCCCTGGAGGCACCCAGGGTTGGGGGGACATCGCTGGGGACCTGGCCTGGCCAGCCAGAGGTGCTGGGTGGGCAGGCAGGACCCGGGTCGGGAAGCACCGCCATAAGTAGCCGTTGGCACGGCTCGGCACAGGGGTCCATGCCGGCAGGGTGTGCAGCACCCAGGTGCCCCCCAACACCTGGGTGGGGGCGAGGCTAAATCCCTCTGAGCGGCTTAACCAGCAGCTCTGAGCCGCAAATCCCCACGCACTGCAGGCACGGTGAGCTGCCGTGGCGATGCCGATGCCTATGGCCCCTGCTCTCCCCCAGGGGCCTGTTGCCGGTAGCCGACGGCCACCCGGCCGGGGGACGCCGGGACCATGACCTCGGCGAACGACTACGAGCAGCTGGAGCTGCAGCAGCAGTACAGCCGCGTCAACGTCCGCTGGGACGCCTCCGATGATGAGCTGGACAACGACAACAGCTCGGCCCGTCTCTTCGAGCGCTCCCGCATCAAAGCCCTGGCAGGTCGGGGACGAGTCTCAGGTCCCCTTGGTCCCCCCGGTTTGTCCCCACCACTGGTGCCACCGTGCCCACTCTCGTTGCAGATGAGCGGGAGGCCGTGCAGAAGAAAACCTTCACCAAGTGGGTGAATTCACACTTGGCTCGCGTCACCTGCCGCATCTCGGACCTCTACATGGACCTCCGGGACGGACGGGTGCTCATCAAGCTGCTGGAGGTGCTGTCGGGAGAGCTTCTGGTAGGACTCCCATCCAGCTGGGGACCCTGGGACCCATGCCGTGCCATGCCATGCCATGTCCCAAGACCTCTGGTGCTCCACCGAGGCTGTTGACCTTGGCGTTGGCCAAGGCTCCACCAGGGTTGGGGTGGCAGCGGCGGTGTCCCGGGGCAGGGGTGGGGGTGCCCGGTGTGGAGGGGAGGGTGCTGATCACTGTCGTGCCCCAGCCCAAGCCCACCAAGGGTCGGATGCGGATCCACTGCCTGGAGAACGTGGACAAGGCGCTGCAGTTCCTGAAGGAGCAGCGGGTGCACCTGGAGAACATGGGCTCCCACGACATCGTGGACGGCAACCACCGCCTCGTCCTCGGCCTCATCTGGACCATCATCCTCCGCTTCCAGGTGGGACAGGGTGGATGGGGGGCACCCTCAGCTCAGCACCCAATGGCTCGTTCCCGAGCGGGAGCCTTCCTCCGTGGATGTCCTCCCTCAACCCCGGGATGTCCTTCTGCCCCCAGATCCAGGACATCATCGTGCAGACGCAGGAGGGCCGGGAGACGCGCTCCGCCAGGGATGCACTGCTGCTCTGGTGCCAGATGAAGACAGCGGGGTAGGTGGTGGGACCCGCACCCCACGGTGCCAGGGTCCGGGGGTGCCCAGAGGGTGACGGTGACACCCTGTCCCCATCGCAGGTATCCCCACGTGAACGTCACCAACTTCACCTCGAGCTGGAAGGACGGGCTGGCTTTCAACGCCCTCATCCACAGGCACAGGTAGGCGGCACTGCAGCGGGCGCCGGGACGTGCCGGGGCGGCAGTGGCACCGGGGGATGTCCTGTGGCTGTGCCACCACCATCCTGCGCCCTCTGTCCCCAGGCCTGAGCTGGTTGACTTCCAAAACCTGACCAAATCCAACGCCCGGCACAACCTGGAGCATGCGTTCAGCGTGGCGGAGCGGCACCTGGGCATCACCCCGCTCCTCGACCCTGAAGGTGAGGCTGCTGCTGCCAGCCCTCCTGCCTCAGTTTCCCCATTGCACCCTGGGACGTGCCCAGGCCCCGTGGAGGGACCGAGAGGTTTCCACCCCGTGGAAGTGGGTCTGGGTTGGGAGCAAGGGCGGACCTCATGAGGCCGTGGTGGCCCATGGCCACGGGGGTGATGCCGGGGCGATGCCGAGGCTGGGTCAGGACTGACACGTCTCGCTCACTCTGGGCAGATGTGTTCACGGAGAACCCCGATGAGAAGTCCATCATCACCTACGTGGTGGCCTTCTACCACTACTTCTCCAAGATGAAGGTGCTGGAGGTGGAAGGCAGGCGTCTGGGCAAGGTAAGGGACAACGCTGGGGCAGGGGGATTCTGCCGGGGTGCTGGCACCCGGTGCTCACCGCCAGCCCCGCCACAGGTCATCGAGCACGCCAAGGAGACGGAGCGGATGATCGAGGGCTATGGGGGGCTGGCCTCCGACCTGCTCACCTGGATCGAGCAGACCATCGCCTTCCTCAACAGCCGCAGCTTCGCCAACTCGCTGGCCGGGGTGCAGCACCAGCTGCAAGCCTTCAGCACCTACCGCACCGTGGAGAAACCCCCCAAGTAAGCGTCCCCAAGCCCCTTGTACCCGCACAGTGGTGGTGAGCACCCATGGGTGCCCCTGGCTGAGCTCTCTCCGGGGCAGGTTTCAGGAGAAGGGCAATCTGGAGGTGCTGCTTTTCACCATCCAGTCGCGGATGCGAGCCAACAACCAGCGCGTCTACACCCCACACGAAGGACGCCTGGTCTCCGACATCAACCGGGTACGTGGCCCGTCCTGGCAGCCGTGCCATGTGCTGTGGGGACACATGGATCCCTGGGGGCTTTGCTCCCCAGGCTGTCCCAGGGCAGGTCGGGTCCATCGCCTGGGGCAAGCTGGGTCTATCCCAGGCTAGTTCAGGTCCTAGGGCAGGTTGGGTCCATCTCCTGGGGATGTTTAGGTCCATCTCAGGGCAAATTGGGTCTTTTCTAGAGCAAGTCAGGTCCATCTCCTGGGGACAGTTCGGGCCCATCCTGGGATGGGTCCTAGGGCAGGTTGGGTCCATCTCCCGTGGCAGTTTGGGTCTATATCCCAAGGCAATTTGAATCTATCCCAGGACACATCCTGAGGCAGGTCAGGTCCATCCCAGGGCAGGTTGGGTTCCTCCAGCCACTGTCCCCAACCCGTGGGACACGTCGGGATTCACCAGCAGAACACGACGCGGGTGGGTGGGGGGACATGGTTGTCACCCCCGTCCGCTGCCACCTTCCCCCAGGCTTGGGAGCAGCTGGAGAAAGCGGAGCATGAGCGGGAGCTGGCGCTGCGCACCGAGCTCATCCGGCAGGAGAAGCTGGAGCAGCTGGCGCGGCGCTTCGACCGCAAAGCGGCCATGCGGGAGGCCTGGCTGAGCGAGAACCAGCGCCTGGTGGCCCAGGTGAGACCGGGGACATCCACCCTGGGCACCTGGACGCCCCGCCGGAGCCTCACCGTGGGCTTTGTGCCGGGGCAGGACAACTTTGGCCAGGACCTGCCGGCAGTGGAGGCGGCCAAGAAGAAGCATGAGGCCATCGAGACGGACACGGCCGCCTACAAGGAGCGGGTGCAGGCCATCGAGGCGGTGGCGAAGGAGCTGGAGGTGGAGGGCTACCATGACATCCAGCGTATCAATGGGCGCAAGGACAACATCCTGCGGCTCTGGGAGCAGCTCCTGGAGCTGCTGGCCGCCCGGCGCCAGCGCCTGGAGATGAACCTCACCCTGCAGCACCTCTTCCAAGAGATGCTCCACAGCATCGACTGGATGGACGAGGTCAAGGTGAGCTGTGGGCATTGGGTGCAACCACGGGTGGGGTGCCCTGGTCCCACCGGGCAGGGTGTTGGTGGGACCCCCCTGGGGAGGCAGGTGAGATGCTGGGGTGCTGGTGGCGGCTTTTGGGTGGTGGTGGATGATGGCTGGGGCTCTCCTGCAGGTGCAGCTGGCATCGCCCGAATCCGGGAAGCACCTTCTGGAGGCGGAGGAGCTGCTGCAAACCCACCGGCTGCTGGAGGGTGACATGGCCCTGCAGGCAGAGAAGACACGGGCTGTCAGCGTCGCTGCTCTCCGCTTCGCCGACACCGAGGGTAGGTGCACCGGGATGCCCTGGGACCGTGGCACGGCCAGAGGAAGCTGGGATGCCCTGCTGATGGGCGCCCACCCCGCTCCCTGGCCAGGCTACCGTCCCTGCGACCCCAAAGTCATCCGGGACCGCGTGAGCCACCTGGAGCTGTGCCGGCGGGAGCTGCAGGTGCTGGCAGTCCGGAGGAGAGCCTTGCTGGAGCAGTCCCGGTCCCTCTGGACCTGCCTGTGGGAGCTGGACGAGGCAGAGGGCTGGATCAAGGAGCAGGAGCAGCTCTACTCCTCCCTGGACTTTGGGAAGGACCTGCCGAGCGTGCTGCTGCTCCAGCGCCGGCATGCCGCCTTCGAGGCCGAGCTGCGGA